CACAGTAAAGAGATATTGAAACGAATATTCTGTAAAAAGGTGTCGTAAACGTATATAGAACTCGATCGTCCGTGAGCAGGTGAGAGGTGTCAATTTGGAGGTGTCTGCTGTCAAGAAACGTTGCCTCTCGTCGACGTCAAATTCGACGCGGTTCGTGCGATCTTACGACGGGCAAGCACTGTTGTGAATGTTTGAAATATTCATAGGAATGCACGGGAAAACGATGAATCGAGAGAAAGAGAAGCACACCGACTCAGCGCCGAGATATCGTTTTCCGATAGATGACCGATTACCGAAGAGAGACTTAAATCTTTGTTTAACTTAGATCCTCGATGGAGTGACTTCAAATTGTCTGATGAGAGGAAATTGTCTCTCTGTACGTGGAATTATAAGTTCTCGTACCTCGAATATCAAATTCCTGTTACGTGCAGAAGTTCTTTCCAACAACGAAAAGAAGCTCTGTTTTCAAAAATAAAGAGAGCAAAAATTGAACTGTCTGTTTCCTACAATTTTTAACTCTCCACAGGTACCCTATACAAAAGTCTGACCAGAATGAAACTACTTACTATACTTCCAACCCCCTGTTATCAATCATACTCGACCAAACATACAGGAACACGATGGGACATCCTAACGACACGAACCAAACGAGTTTCGGAGTTCTTATCTCAACCCTTGAAAGCCACGATCGATGCCAATTACACCAAAAATAGAAAGAAACAGCTAGCCTCCCCCTATCCCTCGTCTTCGCTTTTATTATCTATTTCGTCCATCCACGTGCCGCCTTCCCTCGCGCCTCGGTTAATTTACGACTTCTCTGTGTCCCTTCCTGGTCTACGAAACCCCCGTTGTTCCCAGCCGAATTGAAACGCGCGTCATCGCGGAGACGAAGAGGACCAACCCCTACCAATCCCCAGCCCGATCGAACCCGTCACGCGTATCAAGACCAGACCTGACCCCGTCCAGCCGCCGACAGCGACGTATCAATCAATTTCCCCGGATAGCGCCAAGAATAAACGCGCAGCTTCCGGCGTCGTTGTCGTTACACCGCTATAATAGCCCGAGAAAATCGATTTTTTGTTTACCCTTGAGTACAAGTCTTTAACGCCTTCCTCCTTGACGCACGACTATAAGCAACCTTCTTCGTTATACATAAATTATTCTATAAGAATTCTTCGCATGTTCTTCAAGCCAGAGGACTCCTAGCTAAATAGGTTGGTAGGTAAAACGCTAACAGCTTGAGTGTTCCAAGACGGCCAGACGTTGCGGTCAACAGGCTGTATATGGAACCAAGAGACAGTCATCACGCAGAGAAGAACCTATTTAACGGTTTGTGCCCAACAAGGGTATCGTTTATCACACCCCTCAAAACTGGCTTGGGTAGACTGCTATATTTGCTATCGACTCAGGAGAATCTGAACACATTCGGATGGTATGGATGCAACAATCTACGAGTCGTGCACCAAACTGTACCTATAGAGGTGGATTAAAAGCGATGCTATGTTAGTACAGTTCCATCTCGAAACCTCTCAGACACCCACAGACCTAACGATTGCAAGTAATACATTAAACTACCCCCGTAGGCTACGCTAGTTGCAGATAAATCTAGCTGAAAATGTTCAGGTGGCAGACCGAGCCGAAAACGAATCCAGCCCAACGCTTTCCGGGGGTGGCAGAGACGGAACAATTTGCATTGCCAGGACGAGTGGATCCGCGCGAGGACTCGAGACACTACAATTACCATTCAAACAGTCGTATAAGCGATAGGTGGTGCAAATTATTCGTGGAAAAATCGTTACGTCTCGTCGCGCTCTCGCATCTGCGTCAATTACGAGGCGGACTCTCGGCCCCGTCCCCGAAGGGAGGCGAACGCGGGCCAACGAGGACCTCGGGATCTTGATGGTTTCGCGGAGCGTAGTCGACGTTAGCGGGGGTGTTCCGTGTGCGCGTCCGAGGGACAGGGGCCAAAGAGGAACGGGGGTTGGCTAGGGGACGGGCAAGAGAGGTAACGCTGGGCGAACGGGGACAGAGATGGAACGACAGGGTGGCCTGGGTGAACGCTGGAAAGAGACCGGGGGACGCAGAAAAAGAGGGTAAAAAGACAGGTACGTGTAGAAGGAGAAATATACAGCGCGAAGGAAGGCAGCAGCCAGAGGGATTCAGGGAGAAAAAGTGAGAACGAGAGATACGGTCGCAGGAGGCGGCGGAAGAGTAGGTGGGGGGAGGAGGAGTAGTAGTAGCAATCAATACAGAGCCACCAGAGCAAAACCATCCCTCGACTTCTCTGTCCCTCTTTCACTCTGACTGGCTCTCCGTCCCACCCGCGCTTTATCCCTGTCTCCCTCCGGCTTTATATGTTGCTTTCTATCGCTGCCTCTCCATCTTTCTCTATTCGCCTCCGCCACCCTCTCTGCCCACCCCTAACAGCCACGAATACGACGGTTATATGGACGCTGTGGGGCATAGAGCGTCGCTAACAGGGACTTTCGTACCCTTCCACCGCGTCGCTGGTCCTGTGGTACGCGCGCACACGCGATCCCGGTTCTGTCGAGCACCGTATCTCGGGTTACCTGCGATTATGAGCGATCGCGAATAACCGTGCATCGTATGTGCGTGGCCAGGGGACTGGGGCGGAGGGGACTATTCGAATAATTTAATGTTCGAATGAACATCGTAATTCCCGTTTCTCACCATTGAGCGTTTATTCTGGCAATAGCACATTTTCAACTTGTCATTGGACTCAATTCTATATCTGAATTCTATCAACTCCTTGCCCTATGATTTATTGTGGAACCGTGGGTGCCATAGTCAGGGTGCCGTAGTCAAGGTGCCGAAGTCTCTTGTGCACGTTCATACAACGTGTCTGACTCGTGCTCTTCATGTTCGACTCGATTTCGTTATTACGTGTGTCACATGTTGTTATAGGCTAAAGGATTAAGAATCTAACCGATGACTAAGAAGAATTCTTGAGATGTTGGTAAATGATATTATTAGACCCTATAAGCACTAGCAAATCCAGTGGATAGGGGTGGAAAAAGTATGAAGACACTCATGGTCAAAATTTCTCTTCTATTACCACATTGTTGACCAGTCACGAGTAAACTCGTATTTGCATTTGGATTATCTATTTCAATTTATGAAACTCAGGGCGGTATAAACAAATTTTATAGTTATGAAAGAGATATGTATGTAAAATATTTCATTTCAATTCATTATGTTTGTAAAATATAAATAAAGTTTATTAGAGTTTATTTAGATTGCTTTAATTTCACATTCAATTACGAAATAATAGCCGGCGACATGAAGTCGTTTCTGTGTAAAATTAGTAACATTTACTGCCTTTAAGTTTGAGGGTGGCTACAACGAAGAGTGACTAAAAAAAAAGTCAAATGTTTGATTCAACTACAAGAAACTCTCATTTGACTGATCAGTTAATTTTCCAGTCCAACCGTGAAACGTTTCATCTAGGTAATTGAAATTTTCGATGCAGATAAGAAATTCATAGGTGGTCCACAATCTCAGTGTGTGTGCGCGCGTGTCTTTACGCGAAGTTCCACCACGAGGCTTGTCCACGCGATCGGTTTTTTCGGCCAACAAGGGAACGCGACGAGCTCGGAGAGAGAGAGTTGCGACGGAAAGGTTCGATTTTCGGTGCTATCGCGGGACTGGGCTTGCGCCGTTCCGAGAATGTTAAGCATCACCATTGGGAAATCGTAAGGTTCGCGTATGTTTAACCCTCTATTGCATAATGTGCCCCCGGTGGGAGTCCTAAAACAGTTCCTGCGAAGTCACCCAAGAAATCTTTCAGGATTTGCGTACCCCTGCCTCCCTTTGCCTCCCCCTGCTGGGACGTGATTATACTTTCGCGGAGTCAGCCTGCGGATGGCCAGCTCGAACATTAGCTAGTTTATGAATATGAAATTATTTTCATTTCAAATAGTAAAATACGATGATATTTGAAAAGTTACGAGTCCATTTGAAAAAATATATGTTGCTCGTGTTTACCCCTGAAGAAATTAGAACTTGACAGCCTCTCTGTAGAATGCGACATCCTCCCAAAAGTACTTGGAATTTGTCTCGATTATATTTTTACATATCTACAATTGATATCGTTCCGTTTGAACTGTGTTACTCCTGAACCATTTAAAATATTTTAAACCACCTAAAATATTTTTAAGAAAACTGCCTTGAGAAAAAATCAACCTAATCGATCCTCACGGAATGCTCCGGGAGCGATCGAAGGTGAAATTGGGATCACCTTTCGGCTGGCATGAATGGAGGTGATATGCGATACGGGAATACTTGCTGACGAGGCGAGTTAAGCAGACGGGGCGAGCAGTATTGTTCGAATAATGCTACGTACTTGAACCGATAATTACGCGGCATAGTTCAATGCTACGCAATTCAGGGGCAAAGAGAAAGGTTGTACAGTTGGACGTTCGCGATCCACGTGAACTTGGATCTGGGAGACCGTTGGACCTTGACTCTCTCGACTCGCTGAACACCTCCCATAATGAAATGAACGCGCTTCGACGTTGCGTAAAGTGCCTTTCGATAAACGAACGCTGCGCAAGTGGTGGCTGGAAGGAACTGTGTGAAATGGCGGCAAAATCGGGAAGATTGAAACCTTGGGTTTCGAATCGACCTTGTCGCGACGAGTGAAACCGGGGAAACCAATCGTATCTCCTATGCGATCAGGTTGGAACTCGATTAATCTTAAGAAAGAATTTTTTTCTTGGCTCTCTGGTTTCTCAATTAAAATCTTTCCCTTATATACCTTCTTCCTTTCTTTATGTTTGTATCAGTTACTCTACAAGATCTCGTTTAGTTCAAGAGTAATAGAAGAATAAGACTTGAACTATGTTTTAGAATGAGCAAGAAATAACTTCTTCCTTCAGAAATAGAACAGACTTCGTGTAAGGCATGGTAAAAATTGGAACTTATTGACTGGACTGCTCGAGAAGACCTAAGAAAATAGATTTGAGACGTAGGCTACTCACGATTAATTACGAGGCCTCAACTCATAGTAAAAGCCGGCTCCGCGAGGCTCCATCGCACCTGGAACAGAGAAACATGCAGTCCCATTAATATTTCGTCGTCGAACGAGTTCCTATATCAGCGTTCCGGGCCATTAGAATGCAAACACGCGGCCAGTAGGAAATCTCAGTCCCATTTGCATACAAACTAGACTGTTTTCCTAGTCGTTTATCGCGTACCCCGTCGCTGGGAGTTTATCTTATGCATCGCTACGTTGCCGACCGACTCGCGAAAAAGTGTTCACCCGTTCGCATAAGACGGCAGCCTCGATCGGTACGCGTTACGTTCGATTTCTTACATAAAGAGTCGATTCAGGGACGAAGACATCAATGAACGATGCTTGCGCTCGCGAGTTATTCGCTATTTAAATCGTACAAACTATAATAGTGCGCGCGCGCAATTAGCATCATTCATATTCATAGAGCATCCGTTTCACAAGGAATTACGGAGCTATTCGCGATAAATATTCATACGCGGATGCGGTCTAATCTCGTTCGATGCGTGGTGTCACGAGGGGTAAATATTTAATTTTACCGCGTTCGCGGGTTCCTCGTGTAAACGGCGGAACGAAGAACTCGGAACAATATGAAGAATCGACTCCTCGAACGTGCCTTTCGGTCCCGCCGAGTCTCGACAGCTGCGAGATCAACGCTTAGTTGCTCGTGACCTAATTCTGAATCGTGGCACCTCAAATATTTTTGAAGTATTCGAGAATACGTGCATTGAAGTTGGGATAATTTTGTTTGTTTATGTTTCCGAGAGATGCTGAAGGCAGGAATTTGCAAGATATACATTTTCTGCAGATTGCATTTACGTGGACAATGAGGGAGTTATATTCGAATGCACAGAAGAATTGTGGAATTCATCTATGATAGAATAAAAATGAAAATTAGAAGTAGGATATAAATACAGCAATTTCAATTAATTTATTTCTCAACGAGGTACACCACACTCTTCAAAAAGACAATGATGATAGAAAATGTGTCTGTACAGGATACCCAACATTTTATTTTCATTCCTGAATGGTCCCATAGGGATTCCAGAAACTCAGTCCTTTTAAGTGGTGTATTGTTACGAGCACGAAAATCAAATGCTAAGAAACTCAAATAATAGAAAAGCATTGATTTGCCAGGAAAGTCTCAGGAATTCTCACGTAACAATTCGTTGGCGATTAGTCGAGGTCTCGAGTTCATGATCTGCCACCGAGAACGCGCACGGGGAACCCCCTGGAACCGTTTCGCAGCGATTTCCATTCCTCGTTTTCTCCATCATCTACCGAACGAAAGTAATACCCCAAACGAGTAAATTGATTTCGAGCTGGAAACGAGCGAGGGTAATATTTGTCGAAGCACGGAGCTACGCCAGTCGTTACGACAAACGGGAAAACGCGGCAAAACATCTGTATAGGCGTCCGTGAATACGAAATCAATATTATCGCCAGACTGTATCCGTCGACTACGTTTTGGTGGCCATTCCGAATTTCCTGTCAGACGATTTTCACGAAAACAGAAACCCTCAACCCTTTCCGTATCAAATTAATTAATTTCAGCCTACAACTATTCAAATACTGATTCTGTTCTCATATAAAAATGTTTAGACCATCTTCAAATACGAGTAAATATATTAGGAAAATTGCAGATTCGTAATAACGTATAAACTTTCATTTAAAAAAAACTGGCGGTGGCCTTGATACAGCCTCAGCATCTGGATCAAAACAAACGAAAAATAAATAAATCCCCTCGAACCTCCAAACTTTTTTCTGTAAGATTTTTTTGTATCCACGATAGTTTATATTATATACTACACTCGCCCTCACCTGTATATTCAAACGTGAATGATAACAAATGAAAACGCGGAGGTGGTTACGTTAAATTATGAGGCTTGAAGTTGGAGATGGCATGCGGAATCATGGGGGGTAGGAAGGGTTAAATCCACGATGAAATTAATTTTCCAAAGGGCGAAAGCGACGGTTCGTTCGAGCAAGATTAATTTCGACCTGCTTTGTCGGAACGCTTTGGTCCCCATTTTCTTCCTTTTTTCCCATTGTACGCTCGCAATTTTCGAAAATCTCTTCTCCCTTTGATCGTCCGTCGGCAAACGCGAGCCCAGAGATAAGCAAAATTTCGCTGGAATAATAGACGAATAAAACCAACGTACAGCGATTCATTCGCCACGTTTACTCCATTGACGAGTGATTCGGACAAACATTTATTCGCTTAACGTGAAAAATAATTTCATTTAATAATTCAGCGAGAACGGCCCCAACCATGTTCCAAGCAATTTAATGCCGTTTCGAATGCAAATATTGATTCATTTATAAAATTCTACAGCGATCAAAATAAACTCATACCTATTAGCAAATAAAATTAACAACTTAAGTAACGATAATCAGAACCGTGGAAATAAAAGGTTCAGTGTAAGCCTTTAATTTTTATGAATTTGCGTTTTGATTTGGGCTTCGTTGATTCACGCGAGTGCATGTACTTAATTCTTCTTTAGATATTTTATTTGGATAAGTTTTCATTGCAGCCATCACTGATATTAGTTGGCAAGGTAGTTTCACGGGGAGACAGCACGCTCGCGCGCAGTGTGGTTATTACCGGAAACAACGCTGCGAGCCGATGTAAATGCACAGACCATTAATTCCCTTTGTCCATGGTCGGCGAAATGGGTCTGGCGTAGTATTGGTTTTGGGATACGGAAAGTAGAACGATGTTCCTACGGTTTGTATTTTTCCGTTGCAATCGCGTGGCGCGCAGGTGCGCATTATCCATCGAACATAATAGGCACCAGCGCCTGGGGAGCACGAAAATGTTCGGTATATTTATTTCACGGAAAATGCTATTTACGATCTCGCTGATACCGAATGGGAATACGTGATACATAAATAGAAAAATTTATAGAAACAAAAGTACAAGTATTATCGTTAATTTTGTACGCCATATTGACTCTATAATTATCTGTGCAACAACATGCATAATGCATATATTTTTCCATATTATTTATTATTTATTCGTGCATATTATTTCTTTACGTTTCACTGATATTCCTGGACTATTGTACAAAATGCCAGGAACTTCAAAAACGTGTGTAAATCATTGAATACGCAACATTTCACAATGTCATATAATGGTTGTACAATCCTACACTTCTCGTTACACAATGGTCACATTCTACAATTCAGAAAGAGTACTCGAGCGTGTGTACATAGAGTCATGTATAAAAGAGTTTGAGCATCGACTCGAGTGTGTTCATACATGTGGAGAACAAAGACCTCTTAGCAATATTATAAAAACCCCTTTGTGTTTCCAATTTTAACTAATTGCTAAGACACGCTCGTTTAAACATTTTCCAATTGTCGATTATGTTGAATATTTCGGTAAATAAAACATTCAGGCTTCATGTCCTCCACAGAAGCAATATATTTATTTAAGAAAGAGAAAATAAAATAATTAAATTATTAACTTAATTAAATTCCTCCTCTGCGCGACAATAATGACCGAAACAATCGAGTTCGGCAGAATTATCGATCGAAAGGTCTCGAAGAAAGGCAAAGAGAAACCTTGAAATTATACTAGTTTATTCTCGCAAAACTCCAACAAATTGAAATATCCGATTCCTTTTCTCATGGTTCGCAGAACGTCTTCCTGGAAACTTTTTATTTCCTGTTGAGAACAAACGATTTCTTTGAATTAAAGACCGACGGAGAAGACGGTTCATCTGTCGCGCAGAACATAATAATTACGCGGCCATAAAGCACACCTGAATACCAATACGTCGGCGTTGGTCGTCGCTCAGACCCTGCCGAGAAACGCATAAAAATAATTGCTGAAAAGAACGGTGAAGACGAAAATTGAATGGCTGGATGGTTAAATCACTGTTTTATTAACGACTCACTTCTGGCACATTACGCACAACCGAATGGGCTAATAAATACACTTGGAGATTTTCATACTTGCCAATTCGCATCGTTTACTTGTTAATGATTTCTGAAACCTGTTACTTGTTCCTAGAGACAAAATATGTTGTAGAGACGCGTATATATTGGTATAATTTCAAGACTTCCTGTTTGATCCAGATGAAATTTGAATTATTTGCCCTTCAATATTTTTTTGCAAGAATATTCTCTGCAAAGTATGCTACAAGGCTTCAAAGACTACAGTACACGTTATGTACTACGTCACGTTTTACTGATGATTATATTGATTTTAATGAAATACAAATTCTTGCTTCAAGTACTAACTACTCTTTTAAATGACCCTGTAGCGAGAAGGTATGCGTGCGAACAAGCTCGCATCGAAAACTATACCGCGTACACGAAGGGGTTAATACTTTTCCATCGATTTCGTTGCCGCCTGCGAGGGAAAGTGGCGAAATTCCCTGAATTCACGAGCACCCCGTGGAAGTTAACGCGATTTACCCTCCCTGGTCGACGTGTCGCGGTTGATTTCGATTCGTGCAGCCGACTCGTGGAACACAGTGTTCACGAAATGGCACGAAATCCATCGTGATCCCCGCCGAAGGTTCTCGAGAGCGCGAATCGGGAATACGTTCGCGGAATTTCTGCGGGATTTCTTGTCGCTCGAGAAATTAGAGGCCCCCCCATTTCGCGCAATGCTGTTACGTGACGGTATATCGCGCCTCGATCTCCAAACCTGTGTAATTCGGTTAATGCGACAAAATTTGGATTACATCCAGATTGCGGTTGCCGGAGATTCCAACCTTGCACGCTTAGGCGAACCGTAACGACTCGCGCGTGAATCATGTACGAGGATAAAAAGTGATCCGTTCATACTTTGCGTTCGAGCACTTCAGCTGGGTAATTTATCGATGTTTGATTGGTTGTGGGAATTGCATTTGTCGAGAGTGTGGGTCGGGTTGAATGTCGATGCTTGCTATCCGGTCAACAAACGAGAGACTTATGTCAAGTTTACACAGTCTCGGTTGCTCGTGCAGACTTATGATAGCTACACCCAACAACTTGACTCAAACAAAATCACGGACCTACTCATTCGCGTTAA